ACATTTTATAAAGATAATAATTAAGTATTTTGTTAGAACTCAATGATTATCCTGATTATATTTTAGATTTTTAATATTTAAATGAGATGTTTATCATGTATTTGATTATATTTATCTGCAGTTAGTTACAATAATTCAAAAATAGAGCTTTAATAAGTTGTACTTAAGCACAATCTACTTATAATCTTTAATTTTAAGTAATATGTATCAATAAACAGTATTTTATACATAAAAAGTAGTTTTTAAGAGTTATTGTCAAATGTTTATAATATAGTATAGATTAAAATGATTAATCTTTGAAGATATCATTTTTAGTCATTTTACATTTTTATCATCTAGGTTTACTAATCATGATTTGTTTCAGCTAGCTTATAAGCTAACAACTAATTTATCAATTGTCAACTAACTTATCAACTACTAACTAGTTTGCTTAATATAAAATAAAAATATATTCATGCAATTTATAATGAATAACTAAAACCATGGAGTACTTTAGGTTTTTCCATTTAACTAGAATGATACTCGTGCAATGCAGCGAGATACATCTTGATCTTAATATTTCGTTTTATATTTTGTTTCTATCGATGTTATAATGCGATTTAATGTGGTTTTGAGAAAACGAAAATGTTTTTGTTTTTGAATGAAATATAAATTTGAATATATTATAAAATTTTGAAAAAAATAAGCAATATTAGTCTCAAATTAACTATTTAAAAGTTTTCGTTTTTGTATGATTTTCTTTAGTTCAAATTTTTATTATAATTTAATTGAAATTTTAAAACGAATTAATTTATTTTTGGTTCAATAAAATAATTTTTTTAAGATAATAATTAAGTAACCTGTTTGAATTTAATGATTATCTTAATTATATTTTTATTTTTTTTATTTAAGATGATATTTATCATGTATTTGATTATGTTTATCCATAGTTAGTTACACGAATTCAAAAATGAAGCTTTAGTAAGATGTACCCATGCATATCTTACTTGTAATCTTAAATTTTAAGTAATATGCATTAATAAACAGTACTTTATGCATAAAAAATTGTTTTTAAGAGTTTTAGTCAAATGCTTTATAATATAGTATAGACGAACTTTATGAAAAAAAAAAATTCTTAGCGTGATCTTATAGAATTATATATATATATATATATATATATAT